TATGCTATTGCTTTAGCACAAAGTCATGGAACAAAAGCATTTTGATACATCGCTTAAACAAGCCATTGAACAATTAAGAATAATAAGAAATGAATTTAGTGTAATATCAAGTATATCTGTATAGGAAATATTTTTAATTTCATAGTCTTCATTTTGAATATCATATGGATCATCTTGTTTCCATGTTTGAAGAGGTAAAACAAGAATACCATTTGATTCTTTGAGAAGTATTGTATCAGCATCTGTTAAACTCTCATTTAATTGTGATTTACGTCGAATTAATAATACCGATATTGTTTGTTTTTTTGAATGTTCATGTGATGAATCTAATACAATGGCTGGTAAATCTGTTTCATATAAATAGCGTATTCGAATAATTTTTCCACATTTTAATAAATTTTGTGTTTTTACATTTTCTTGTAGCAATTGTTGAATATTGTATATGAGAGACCAATATTTTTCTGTTTGTTCATAATATTGATTTAATTTTTCATTATTACAATTTTTACATTTATCTAATAATACTTTAATTTGTTCAATATTTGTTTGCAACTTCTTTAATGCTATTAAATCACGTAAATTTGCTTTTTGTTCATGAAATTCACCATAAGAACTACGAACCATATATGTTAGGGGACATTCGGAGACACGTAAAAAATTCAATATCATTGCATAAGTTAAACGAAATTGAGATTGTAATTGAGAAGCTTTACCCTGAATAGAATAACATATTTTAACTCGTTCAATAATTAATTTTTCAATTTTTGAAACAATTACAAAAAACTCATACTATTCACCATCATCATTGTTCTCAAACTTGCAATAGGTTGTACTTCAGAACCTTTACATAAAATAATAACTGTTCCCGTTTTATCCAAGCCACGTCTTCCTGCTCGTCCTGCCATCTGTATATATTCACCTAAAATGATAAATATGATTAATTAAAACACATAATTCAATAGATGATCATTATTAACTTGGTGTTAATTCTCGAAATGAGCGACCATCATGTTTTTGAATTGCATCAAATATAACTGTTCTTGCAGGCATATTGATACCCATAGCAAATGTTTCGGTAGCAAATAATATTTTGATACATCCACTTTGAAATAATAGTTCAACAGCTTCTCGAAGTATCGGTAATACACCCGAATGATGAATTGCAATACCTCTTTTAGCCATTTCTAGAACACTTGTTACCTACAAACACACATCAATAGAGAGAAAATATATTTGCTCTATTGATCGCATACTTGCGGTAATTGTCTGTCGGAATCACTTAATCGAGATAATGCTTGTCGAAAAAATTTAACTACTAAATTAAACAAATAAATATTTAAATTTAATCAGATTAATCAAGGAAAGGTGTAAATGAGACTATGTGTAAATTAGTATACATTTTAAAATTTAACATTTTTTTCTAATACTAATAACTGTACAATGAAAACTATAAATATTTACTTTTGTGTTTATCTTCGGCAGGATTTAAATCAAGTTTTTCAACTAAACTTAAATATTCATCACATCGTTTACGAGAAAACACAAAACAAACAGCTGGTAATAATTGACGATCTCGTAACATATAAATAATTGCTGTCCATAAAGTTTTACTCTACAATACAAAGAATTAAATTTATTTATAAATTTATTACTAATAAAAAAATGATCTACTTGATTTGGATTAAGATAGTCTCGTCGTTGTTTAGAGCCATATTGTTGTTGATGATCTTTTAATCGAGAATTTTTTGCATTTACAGCTAATTCATAACTAGAGAAATAAATAAATAAAATAAATATGTATATATAAGGTAAGAAGAAAATGTTTTCGATCGATTCATACATGGTTCGATAGAGCTCATCGAGCTGATCAAGAACATATAGTTCGCCATTTTTTCAGACCATTTTTTGGGTGAGAAATCTTCAAAATACAATTTACCCCTCAAAAAACGAATATTTGAGCAATACGGAGAAAATTCAAGATTTTAACATTTTAATTTAATTCTACGTTCCAGAAACTATCTTATTCGAATTCAGCATCAAAAACTGAGTACGACTATGTAAGTGCCATCGAATTTTAGCCTAACTCTGTCGTTCAGGAAGCTCGAACAGGACCGCCTTGGGACACCTTGACTCTCGAATCCTGAAAACCGATCTAGTTTTTTTGTCTAAAGAGATAAAATCCTCTTTCATATATCATTCGAATCGTCAACTAGCAAGGAATACAAGTATGTATCGGTTTTGTAAAATTTTGTTTCCTCGCTGAGAAAAGCCGACTTTACTGGAAAAAAATCAGAATTCTGCCTCTAATTCTTATATATATGAATGGAGTCAGATGTATCTATCTTACTTTTTCAATAAAAGTTTTTGTTCAGAATCAATCAATAAAAATAATTCTTTATTAGTTCCTGTTGAATTTCCAGTAAACAGATAGTGTTCCAATGGTACTGGACGTTTAAACGTTGATATTACATATACATGACGCTTTTTCATTCGTCTAGAATTATAGAATAAATGAAATTTAAAAGTTTTTTATTAATTAAATAAATTTATACTTACCCAACCCACTCAGCAAATTCTGTAGAATTGGAAACAGTTGCACTTAACATAATTAGATTAACATAATCAGGCAACATAATAATAACTTCTTCCCATACAATACCACGCTAAAAAGTCAATAATATGATAAAGTAAAGATATAGTAAGAGAATAATTAAAAAATTTTGTCATGTATACAAATGATAGATACATGTCTAACCTAGAAAGCATACTTCCGGATCATTGATATAGTGAACTTCATCAAATATAACCCATTCAAGACATTTCAATGAATCAGAGCGATTATAAAGCATTGATCTAAATAATAAAAAGCTTGTCAGCATTGCTTCTACGAAGAAAAAATGTGAAAACTTCTTATTGAATTGTTGGACTATAACATACATTATGTATAAATAGAAGGAAGTTAAATAAGAATAGTAGCACGCGAGAGAAACTTCTATTTTTAATAGCTTTTTTTTCTGATCATCATGGCGAGATATGGTAATACTTTTTAAAACTTGTGTCTAATAACATCAGATCAATAATGCACTGTTTATTACTAGTCCATTCAGTAGCTGTAAACGCCAAATTTATATTGAAATTTGATCAATCACAATTTCACCCCAAAAGTTTACA